ACTTTACATACACCTACATATTTTACATACACCTACATACTTTACATGCACCTACGTACACCTATGTATAATGCGGATAGGATGGGGAATAGAGAGGGGAAAGAGGCGAGGATTTTTGGGTGGATCGAGGAGAGAAATTTTGTCGAGTCGTTTGGGTAATATTAAATAATTTCATTCGTTGTATATGCAGACTACGGATCTTTATGCAAAATAAAATCCTGTGTCTAGAAAAAATTGAACCTAAAGAGGAATTTATATTATTCTGCATAGATTTAATATTTCTTCATTTCTACATGTGTTTCTTCACTTCTTCTAATCTTTGGTCGCTCTTTCTTCATTTCTTCGCGGGTTGATTCGACATTTCTTCATTTCCTCGTGTGGCTCATCACTTCTCCTGACGTTCCGTCGCTCTTTCTTCATTTCTTCGCGTGTTCACTTAATATTTCTCCATTACTTCATCCGTATACTTGCTGCTTCAAGATGTCTTGAAGTATTCATTTTACGTCACTTCATTTCTTCACACCTCTGTATGTTTACATTAAACTATCCACCTTCACCCTAACGAAACACACAAATCCCTTTGGTCATTTGACCTCGCTGCATACTATCGCGATATGCAACCCCGAGAGAAAAATTGATTAATTCCATAGTCCATAGTTCCAAGTCCATAATTAAATAGTTAACCATGGAATTAACTATTAATTAACTAACGACAATTAATTTACCACTCCTGTTTCTATCTATTTAATACACTGAATATTTTGGGAGGTACACGTAACGAGCTCGGCACCGAAGGAATACGCTTCTTCGAAAAAGGTTGGGAAGCACTGCCGCGCTGGTGAAAAACAATGAGAAGCACGTGTTTGGTTGGAGGAGGACGGAGAATCCGGCCGTTTTCGCGCCATTCCATCGCAAGCGAATGAGAAGTTTCGCAGATCGGAGCCTGTTCCACGCGATCCCTCGCCTTGTTCCCACTGGCTCCGCGCGATATAAATATTCGACGTGGGTCGTCCCTCGAGACTTCCATCTTTCTTCCCGGGACCCGTCTACTCTCTCCCGCTCGGTGTCCATCCATCTCTCTCGCGGATGCTGGATCACCCGACACTCGTTCCTTGTTCAACCCCTACTCCTCGAACGAGATCGCGGAGCGTCGATCGTTCCACCTCTTTCACCTCGATGATCGAGGAGACTGAGATGCTTTCAAGAATAACGAGAATAAGATGGATATTGTGACTGTGTACGTTAGATATGGGCGATACCAGGTCGCGGTGACCACCTAACGCAGACCCAGAATGAAGAAACAGCAAGTAAGCAAGTAGAGAAGCGAGGAAACGCAAGAAGAAATGAAGAAATAATGACTGAACACATGAAGAAATGAAGAAAC